GAAGAGGAGGAAGGAGGGAGGAAGAAAGAGGGAGGGAAGGAAGCGAAAGGAGGAGGGAAGGAAGAAGGAAGGAAAGAGGGAGGGAAGAAGGAGGAAGAGGGAGGGAAGGAGATGAAGGAAAGAGGGGAAGAGGAGAGGAGAGGGAAGAAGAAGGAAAGAGGGGATGGAGGGAAGGAAAGAAGGAAGGAAGGGGAAGGGAAGGAAAGAGGGAGGAAGGAGGAAAGAAGGAAGGAAAGAGGGAGGGAAGGAAGGAAAGAGGCGAGGGCAAGGAGAGAAGAAGGAGGGAGGGAGAAGAAGGAAAGTGGGAGGATGAGGAGGGCAGGAGAGACGAGGGACGTGCGAGGGAGGAAGGACGACGAGCGGAAGGAAGGAGAAGGGAGGGAAGGAAGAGAGAGGGAGGGAAGAGAAGGGAAAGTCGCGGCGGCGAGGGAGGGAGGGAAGGAAGGAAAGTGGGAGTGAGGGAAGGAAAATACGGTGGCCACCTGCAGTGCGGGCGTTCCCCAGGCGCCGCTGCTGATAAAGCGCGGGCGAAGTGGAGGCTAGGATGCCACCGGCGTGCGTGCGTGCGTGGCGGCAAGCCCCCATCTCCGCTCGCTCGTGCCGAAGCCACCACCCACGCAATGAAACAACACAAGGCTTTCTCCAGGCCAGGGAAAGGGCCTGGTGGCGCGGGGAGATGACAAGGCTGGGACCACCTCGGTTAGCGCAAACCCCAGCGGTTGACTTCGGCGTGGGTTCGGCGCTGTGGTTGCTGGGCGTAGTGTGGGCGCCTCGGGGGGCTTCAGCGCCCGCTGTCCTCGCCGGTCGAACATGCGGGAGGAGCCCGACTGCCTCCCCGGCGCGGGGCGGCGTGCGGGCCTCACGGGCCCGCTCCACTGCGTCGGTGGCCCCGCGGCCCCGCAAGCGGTCCGCGCGTCCCCTTCCGTCGCGCCCTGCCGCGCGGCTTTGGTCCCCCCGGCTGGCCCGTTGCGGGGCGGCCGGGGCCGGCTCTCCCCGCGCCCTCCCGGGGCTCACGCAGCTCGCCGCCGGGCCGCCCGCGCGGCGGCCCGGCCGCCTGTCCCGCCCGCTGGTGGCCCCGCCGCCGCGCCCAATGTGCGGGACCCCGCGATCTCATCTCCGCAGCGCGCCCGCCATGGCTCCAGCCAGGCCGGCCGCGCCCTGCGACCAATGCCCCCTTTGTGTGTCACCGCTGGTTCGCGCCTATTGGGGGGCGCGCCGTGTCACACTAGAGTTTCCTGTGCTCCCGACCGAACGCAGGACAGTCTTTAACCCGCCCGCCGCTGCGGCATCGACGGTGTGGGCTGTCATTCTGCCACGGTTTCCACGTAATTTGGGTTGAAGAAGACGAGGAGAGAAAGGACGAGCGTCAGAAACCCATCGAGTACTTGGAGAGGAAGATCCGATTTTTTTTTTTTTTTTTATGCCCTCATGCCTGTAATCCTAGCACTCTGGGAGGCCGAGGCGGGCGGATCCTTTGAGCTCAGAAGTTCGAGACCAGCCTGAGCAAGAGCAGGACCCTGTCTCTACCAAAAATAGAAAAAATTAGCCAAGCATGGTGGCGCATGCCTGTAGTCCCAGCTACTTGGGAGGCTGAGGCAGGAGGACTACTTGAGCCCAGGAGTTGGAGGTTGCTGTGAGCTAGGCTGATGCCACAGCACTCTAGCTGGGGCAACAGAGTGAGACTGTCTAAAAAAAAAAAAAAAAAAAAAAAATTATTAGAATACTGGCCAGACATGTTAGCTCTCACCTGTAATCCCAGCACTTTGGGAGGTCAAGGGGGAGAGAAATACTTGAGGCCAGGAGTTCAAAACCAGCCTCCATGACATAGTGAGATTTCTTTCTATTTATAGTAGAGACAGGTCTCACTCTTGCTCAAGTTGGGTGTTTTCAACCCTGCTCGAGCAATCCGCCCGCCTGGGCCTCCCAGAGCTAGGATTACAGGCGTGAAGCCACCGCACCAGGCCCTTATCTTCTTAACAGTAGAGAGTCTTGTAGAGAAAATAACCTTTGAGCTTTGAAAAAGATCCTCAGGACCTAAAGTGAAGGAAGAATGAAAGCATGAAAATCAGAAGCCATTAAGTTGCTTTTCTCAAAACATGGTGAGATGTTTGTTAGAAATGAATATTCCTGGGCCTCACTCTAGAACTACTGAATAAAAATCTTTGAGGCCGGGCGTGGTGGCTCACGCCTGTAATCCTAGCTCTCTGGGAGGCCCAGGCGGGAGGATTGCTCAAGGTCAGGAGTTCAAAACCAGCCTGAGCAAGAGCGAGACCCTGTCTTACATAAATAGAAAGAAATTAATTGGCAACTTGATATGTATATAAAAAATTAGCCGGGCGATGGTGGCGCATGCCTGTAGTCCCAGCTACTCGGGAGGCTGAGGCAGAAGGATTGCTCGAGCCCAGGGGTTTGAGGTTGCTCGTGAGCTAGGCCTGACGCCCATGGCACTCACTCTAGCCTGGACAACAAGCGAGACTCTGTCTCAAAAAAAAAAAAATCCTTGAGAAAGAAGTTTGAGAGGCCTCTGTTAAACCAGCCTCTCCAGGTAATTCTCTGCACACTAGGTCTGAGAATTACTGCATCTAAAGAGGTAAGAGCCGGACTTTTGTCAAGGTCAATTCTGCTAATGTAGCAGGACACTTCTGGACGAGAATATAGCAGGACGTTCTGGACTGTGCTATCATTGCACTGACCACTTAAGAAAAATTATTTCATTAACGTTTTGTTTTAGTTTATTTATTTATAAATGTTAGAGATGGGTCTCAAACTCTTGGCCTCAAGTGATGATACCTCCTGTGTCAGCCTCCAAAGTGAGCCACCTGTATCCACCTGTAACTCTCGTTAATTATGTCTAATCCGAATACAAGGAGGTACAAATGAAACACAAACAAACTACAAAGTAATAAAATTAAAATTGACCTGACCTGAACCTGACTTAACTTTTAACACTCTTTGAGTAACAGATACGCATGTACTTCATAAGGTTCTTTCAACACAATGAAAATACATCTTGGGAGGAGTCAAGGGGTTCTCATTCATGTTCAACAGCCAGGGAACTGACTTGATAAATTTTGGCTTTGATGTTGGGTTGTTGAGTCACGCAGTGCTTTCTCAAATTGGACCCTTAGAAAGAAAAAAATGTTG